GTGCTACAGCTTTATTATAACTTGAGGAAGGGGGAATATTTGTTAATAGTAGGAAGTCAATATGTTTAAAATTTGATATATTAAGAAATAATAATATATACATATATTATCTAGCAAAAAACAAAGGGTAACTTCAAGAACAACCAAAAACAGAGTTTTAAAGTAGTTGCTATGGTGGTGTTGGTATTGGTAATGGGGAGACAGGACTGTTGTTCTTTAAATTCCTTTCATTTATTTTTTAATCACATGCAAATATTTGATAAAAGTTTATTTTTTTTTTTAAGAGAGAGTGAGAGAGGAGAGGGAGAGAGAGAGAGAGAGAATTTTTAATATTTATTTTTTAGTTCTCGGCAGACACAACATCTTTGTTGGTATGTGGTGCTGAGGATCGAACCCGGGCCGCACGCATGCCAAGCGAGCGCGCTACCGCTTGAGCCACATCCCCAGCCCCTGATAAAAGTTTAAATGGTCTAATTTTTTTCCTCTAAATTTAACAGTATTAAAATTAAAAACTTGGATTTTATTTTGGTGGCATTTTTTTCTTTCATAAACATTTAGTTCTTGCTTCTAATTATATGTGGCCTAAACCTTTATAGTCTGGTAATACTAATTATCTATAATTAAGAATTATGCATTTTATTAATATAAATATATAAAATGAAAAAAACAGAAGGTGATCTGAAATAATGATCTGTGTATTTAAATATCTTAAGACAAAAATTGTTATATGCCTTGGAATGATCCATGTATAGGATGCTGTTATCTACCAATGTTTTTTTCCTCCCTGTACAGTCTTTATGCTTTCCATTTTTTCATCACACTGTCACTTCCTGTACAGTATTGAATTTTGAAGTGATAAGAGCAGAAATCCTTGCTTTGTTTCTGATTCAGATAGAAAACATGGATTCTTTTTTTTCCACCTTTGAGTTTTATGTTATTTGTAGATTTTTGTAAATGAAAATAATTAGTTTTTTAAAAATTTCCTTGTGTTTCTAGTTGGCTGAGGGCTTTTCTCATGAATAGATGTTGGATTTTTAAATTAATCTATTTTTTTGGCAGTTGTTAAAATATTTATTTGGCTTTCGTCATTATTTTGTTAATATGATAATTTACACTGATCAATTCCTGAGTGCTAATCCAGTCTTGAATTCCTGGAATCAATCCCTATTTGGTTATGTTTTTATTATCCTTTTTTAATATTGCTAGACTGTTTCATTTTTCATCATGCTTGAATATTAGAGATATTATTCTATAGTTCTCTTTTCTTGTTATGTGTTTGATATAAGTGAATATTGACCTTAACGTATGATTTGGGAAGTGTTTCCTTTTTCTCTCATTCTAAAAGATTCCAGGTAAGATTGTTACAATTTCTTCTTTAAGAATTCACAAGTGGGGTTTACTGTGGTTTGGGCTCAGTGGTAGAGCTCTTGCCTGGCATGTGTGAGGCCCTGGGTTCAGTCCTCAGCACCATATAATGATAAATAAATAAAATTAAAGGTCTTGTATTCATTTGTAACTACAAAAAATAATTTAAAAAAGGAATTCACAAGTGAAGCAACCTAGACCTGCAGGGGCTTTCTTTGCTGGGGCATGGGGACTGACCTTAAAATTGTAAATTTGTTGTATTCAGCTGATAATAGGAGTATTAAAATTTTCTGTCTTTGGTGGGTATTTGTTATTTCTATCTTTGAAGGAAATGTTTCCAGCTCATCTAGGCTGTCAACTGTATTGACATGAAGTTGCTGCCCTATTGTGTTCATAGGATCTGTAGCATCTCTAGTGCTCTCTCTCTTATTCTTGATTTTAATAATACATGTCCTCCATCAGTTTAACCTAGAGACTTTCTGGGGGTTTTTTATCATTTCATTGAATCAGATTTCATTGAGTTTTCTTTTATTTTCTGTTTCATTGTTTCTTCTCTTTATTGTTTCCTTCTGAGTTTTGCATTTCTGAAAGTGGGAATTCATATTACTAATATTAGATTATTTTCTCTAACATGAGCATTTAAAGCCATAAATTTCCTCTCAGAGTGATTTAGTTATAATCACATTGATTATATTTTCATCATTTCATTAAACATATTTTCACTTTACCTTGCAATTGCTTTTTTGATTCCATGAATTATTTAGGAGTATGTTGTTTTACTTTTCAAACATTTAGGGTTTTACTAATTATGACTCATTTCTAACTTAATTCCATTATGGTCAGAAAATAGACATTTTACAATTTTAGTCTTTTTAAATTCACTTATACTTGTTTTATGGTCTTCCATATTCTGGAGGCATTTGAAAAGTGTATTGTCCCATTGTGAGGTGTATTGTTCTATAAGTGTCAGTTAACTCAAGGTTAATAATGTTCAGATCACCTGTGTCTCTGCTTTGCCTCCCCGGTGCACCCCCCCCCCCCCAGTTATATTGGTTGTTGAGAAAAGGCTAGAGAATAAATTATACTTCTAATTGCAAGTTCAGTAAAGCTACATTGCAGAGAACATTCATACAAGAACAGGAGAAATCTGTGACCATATTTTACAACTTACTAGGGTTTATTTTAATGTTTTCTGTAGTCTTGTATCTATTTGAAATTTTCCACAATAAAATGTTACGAACAATTTTTCAGGTAATACATCATGTTCTAGGGAATGCATATTATATGCTTCATCAAACATAGGAGAAATATTTAGGATTTCTATTTCTGTTTATTGTCATATCATTTCAAAAGTCATGTTTTGTTTTATTTATTTATATATATATATATATATATGGTGCATGGTATATTCAATTGTCATGTATAACTTTAAAATATATATATATATATATATAGGAGGTAGTTATGTGTTGTTTTTTTTTTTTCACTATTCTTGCTTAAAAAGAATAGTCTTAACTCCATGGAGATGTCAGTTTTGTTCTAAAAGCTAGGTATCGTTTGAATGGTCTTGTAAAGTTCATCTTAAATTTTATGATAAAATACAGTATTTCCATTTATACTCATTTTGAAGTGCATCATTCTATCAGATTTTTAATTAAAAGATATTTTTATACTCTTGAGTCACTTTTGAGACACTGTCCAAACTTAATTGGGGAAAGAGGGAATAAGTTAATATTTCCCCTCATTAATCTCTTTCTCTATCTGGAATGTTTACTTTAACTATCATTTGAAATGAAAAAGAACATGATTTATAGGCAGAAAATAAAGAAGCTAAATTATTCTGATACTTATACTAGATTCAATTCATTTCTCAAACCCATTCCTCCCAGTTTCTATTCTACTTTGAAGAGCAAAGGGTCATAGAAAACACATTCTAAACCCAGTTGTTAATTTTTTAAATATCCAGTATTCAGACTCATACAAATTAACTTCTTATTTTCTACTCTTAGTAAGTTTCTGAATGTAACTAGAGATTTTACATTCTAAATTTTCTAATTGGCATTTTGTCTGTTAATGTGTGTGTGTGTGTGTGTGTGTGTGTGTGTGTGTGTGTGTGTGTGTTCCTAGATTTGCAAGGATGTGTTCCTAGGGCTTTATTAACTGAAAAATATTTTATAAGATGATTTATTTACTAGATCATAAGGCAGGAATTCAGTGATGGATGTTTGGGGAGATTTGATACAAATGTTTTTTATATGGGTTATCTTCGTGTTTTATAAACCTCTACGTAATTCAAACTTTGACCAAATTTCCTCTCCCACCAACATAATATAATTAAGATTTTCCTCAAATGAAAAAAAAAAAAAAAGAAAAGAAACTTTTTAAACCCTATTAGCACTCAAATTAAAGAACAACTTCTAATAAGGGTTCCAGCCAACATCATTATTTAGGGAAACTGCATTTTAGCTAAGTGTGATTTATATTAAAGCCACAGACAATGATATATTTGGATATTAGGGTATTTGACAAAGTTCCTCATGACATACCCTTAAAGAACAGGACTAAGAAATGTCAGCTGGAGGATGATATAATTAGACTGATTTCTAACTGAGCACCATAAACACCAATTGAATTCTTGACATCTGGAGGGTTGTGGTACTCCTTTTTTTTTTTTTTTAAATTGGTGATTTGAATGGCATGCTTTTCTTCTTAATTCACAGATGATATTAATCTGGAATATGTATTCCTGATAAATTAGATGACTGATTTGTTTAGAAAACAAAATGATCCTGATGAAGTAGAACACAGCATCTCATTAATAAAATAACTTAATAAGTTGTAAATGTAAACTCTTCCTTTGCCTTCCCTCCCAAAAAAGAAAACTCAACTACACAGTCCACCCTTGGTATCTCCATCCCCAACTTTTTACCTTGTGACACCAAAATCAGCAGATGTTCAAGTCCATTATATAAAATAGCAGAGTATTTACATATAACCTATGCATATTCTCCCATATGCTTTAAATCATCTCTTGATTACTTATCTAATGTAAATTCTGTGTAAATAGTTGTCATACTGTAGTTCAAGTAATGACAATAAAAACATCTGTACATATTCAGTATAGACACGTTGCGGGGTGGGGGGGTTCCCATTTAATTATTCCCATTATATTTGAAAAAAGTAAGATTTAGAATTTTACTCAAAATATATCATTATATTAATAGGGTGTCTATTTATATTCACAGTGCCTCAGTTTTGAGGCATTTCTCAATTTTCTATTAAATACATGTTAGAAAATACAAAATATTAGCAGTATTTCTAGATGGTATGATTTGGAGTGGTTTTCTTTTATTTTGCCTTTCCAATCCACATTTTCTAGAATAAGCATGAATCCTTAATAAAACACATGGAAGACAAAGTGCTTGATTTTTTTTCAATAACTTAAGTGTATGATCTGAGAATATTTTAACTTACATTGTTTCAATAATGATTTTTATCCCTCCTTTGACTGTAATTATACTTACCATTATGCAGAAGTCACAGTCATCTGTGGTGATCTCAGTGTGTTACTGTTATCTCACTCTACTACTGTGAATCCATTGAACCTATTTTTACTTTTTCATGCTTTATCAAAGGTTGAATTAATAAAAGGGAATTTACAAAGCGTTGGACTTACACTTCGTCTTGTTCAGTCAACTGATGGATATGCTGGGCATGTCATAATTGAAACTGTGGCCCCAAACTCACCTGCTGCAATTGCAGATCTTCAGCGGGGAGATCGACTCATTGCTATTGGAGGTAATGATGATAATGTAAATATTTAATATTTACAGAGAAACTAGAAAGTAGATGTGGAGTTTTTCTTGTCTGTCTTCTTCCTTACTTCTATAATAAGCACTTGTTAATTTTATTATGGAAAGAAATAAACTATTTTAAATGCTACTTGGAAGGATACCTTACAAATGCATTTAAAACATATGCTATTTTAGTCCTAACATATAAATCTTTAACTTCATTTTTAGACCACTTTTATGTAACTTCTCTAATTTTCCTTCCCTTCCTATCCTCTACTTCTCTCGTTTTTTAGGGTAAGTCAATAAGTCATCTTTTTTCATAATTACCACCATTACTACTATGAGTACTAGCACTATTGCCCCCATCCCATACAATTAGAAAATGAAGAGAAGAAATATTATTCCTTGTCCAAGAGGATACATCTGCACTGTCCTAAGGCCCCATATTGTTTGAAAAGCCAGCTGTTTGTTAGGAGGCTGTTATTTAGAGTTCAGCCTAAATCACTGGTGGAAAAATACATCACCTGCATACTGCATACCTTTTTATCAACCGGATTATTAATAATAGCAACAAAAACTCCCTATTAATAGGATTACTTTCTTGTATATATATGCCTAAGCACAGCACAGCCAGAAGGGAAAGTCGAAAACCTTTTCTAACCTTGCGGTACCTGGCTGTTATGGCTTGTAAGAGATTTCTTGAACACATGCTTGGTCACATTTGGTCCTTTAAGGGCATTGTGGTATGTTCTTTCACAGCTAAGACACTAAATAAGATACAGCAGTTCTCAAAGCAAAGAGCAATTATCCTTGGTTAGATGTCGAAAGACACTAAATAAGATACAGCAGTTCTCAAAGCAAAGAGCAATTATCCTTTGTTAGATGTCGAAAAACTGTCTTTGGTAGGGTGACCAAAGACACCTGTAATCCCAGATACTAGAGGCTAAGGCAGGAGGATTACAAATTCAAGGTCAACCTCAGCAACTTTGAGAGACCCAGCTTCAAGATAAAAAGGATTTGGGAATGTAACTCAGTGGTAAAGTGCCCCTGGAATCAATTTCTAGTTCAAAAAACTAAAAACCTCTCTTTGGTTCAGTTTCATCGTGACAAGAAAATAATGAAACCCAACTAAGTTAGCATTGTCACATGCTCTGATCATAGCCTAAGCAGCACTTGTCACACTTCCATGTGTATTCCTGTCATGTAGACGTATTCAAATATGTATTTGGTAGACCTGGGGAAGGGCCCAGAATTCTCTGTTTCTAACAACTTCCCAGATGATGCCAGTGCTACTGGTCCATAAACACTAGGAAGACACTAGGAAAGTCATAAAATAGCCCTCCATTCATTATGTCAGCTGTCTGACAAACTCTGCTAAAATCACAATTCAATATAATTTTTTTATGTTCACACATACCCTGTTTTGGTTTTATATATTGGGTGAATTTTTATTATTTTTTTTTTACTTTTTTATGTAAATGAAACCTTTTAGGGTTTCATTTTAAATGACAGAAGTAGTGAATATCTGTAATTCAAAATAAAAGACAAATAAATTCAACCAATACAAATGTATACAGAGAGTAAAAGTAAAAATTATTCCTTCAAATCTAACATTTATAAAAATATAACTTTTATTGATTAGACAGATGCAATAAACAATCATTGACAAAAGGTTTAAAGCATAACAGAAAAACTTTACATCTCTTTCCTGGCTTTTTTTTTTTTTCTCCCTTAAGTACATCCTCTGCCCCAGTTCTAGGAAGCAAATTAAAAGCCTACAGTGTATTTTTGGTAGTAGGCTTTATTTTTTTTAAATATGTCACAAACTTTACCCCATGTCAACAGCTATTTTTCGTATATTTGTATTTGATTCACTTATATGGATATATAAAATTTTTAAGGTACTTAGTATCAGGGTATTGGTGAGAGTTGAAATAAGATTGGCAAAATGTTATAGTTAAATTCATTAATAGTCCATTTTACTGGTTTTATAGCTTTCAAGGATGTTTTAAGTATTCCAAAAGAAAAATCCAAACCTGAATGATCTAGCCTGGAGAGAGAGGTACAGTAGCCATCTCCACAAGTACCCGATGATTAGAAAAGAGATGAGACAAGGACAGATTTTTTGAGTCACAAAAAAATGGATTTAGGTTGAGTTGAAGTTTTTTCCTGTTAAAGATCACTGGATGGATTTATTTTTCATTTATGTATATGTCAAACTGAGGTATTCCTGTGACATAGTGTACTTAGAGAGAAGCATTAGAAGTTAAAGCTAGATGAATCATGAAGAACCACATTAGAAAGCTCTGGATTTCAGTGTGAGTTTTTTGGCCAAAGGCTTTTGAGCTGTAACTTTAGGAAAATCTGGCAGCAATATACTTGGTGATTAAAAGTAGCAAAGGTCTGAGTGAGAGGTTGTAGTTGAAGACTGTTTATTTCCGTAGTTGAGGGCAGTGATCAGGAGTATCCAAACACTGAAAGCAAATGGACCTGAACTCTGAATTAGAATTGACAGGTGAATGGATCTAGGGAGTCTGCTACTTCCAGGATTCAAATTGAGCTAACTGGGAGGTGGCAGGTTGATTCATAGTAGTCAGGATAAGAGGACCAGAGAGTCACAGAAGGGTTTTAACTGTGCCAAAAATGTAGTGCCAAAGAAGTATCTAGATGGTTTTGTCTGGAAGTTGGGCAGTAGTGAATAAAAGGAGAAACCAACCAAAAAACAAATATGCTAGTTTGTGAACTATTAGAGGGGACCTTTGTACCAGGGAGAGAGCAAAAAAAGGCTGAGAACTAATGACAGACAAACCTTCGTAGTGACTACATGTAAAGGTCAAGTGTATATACAGAAAAGAAACAGAGGAGAGATGATGTGAACCAGTTTAGTACAATATCTTGGAAACTAAGGAAAAGAAAAGTTCTAAAGAAAAAAGAAGTAAGAAAAAATAAGTGAGGCTGAGTGTGGATGCACACCTGTAATTGGAGGAGCTCAGAAGGCTGAGGCAGGAGGATCCAAAGTTCAAAGCTAGCCTCAGCAAAAGTGAGGCACTAAGCAACTCAGTGATACCGTGTCTCTAAATAAAATACAAAATAGGGCTGGGGATGTGGCTCAGAGGTTGAGTGTCCCCGAGTTCAATCCTAGTACCCAAAGGGTGGGGGGAATAGAGAATAACTGATAAAGCAAAATCCTGAAGGAGACAGGAGGGCAAGATCAAAAATATAAAAAAAAGGGATACTTCCTCCTCTGAAATAAAATAAGATGAAGAGTTACTGGCAGGGAGTTCAGGTAACTTCATGTGGTGCTTTTTGGTTAGTAAGATAGATGACATCTGCAGAGAAAGAGTGGGGAGGGTTGAGCTTCAGGGAACAGGAAAGGTTTAAAACTGTTGATTTGGAATCTTAATTGTTTTAGAGAGCCATCTAAATGCTAAGCAGTACTGAACACCTTGCCAAGGATGGATAGCATGACTCAATTCTAGATCCAGGTGGGAAGCTGAAAAGCAGGAAAAGGGGATGGAGGGCTAGCAAATCTGAGGATTAATTATTTAAAAAAAAAAAAAAAAACCTAGAAGAGGAAAGGGCTAGAACAAGAGAATCACAAATATTTGTGAGAACATTATTTTGTAATCTTGACACTTAAGTTGGATAGCAAAGCATGTGGTATCAGAAGACCAGTGGGACCATGCAAAGAAAGAAGGAATGGTTGGGCCAATAAACTACCTAAAAGCAGAGTCAGCAGACAGTATTGTAATAGGTGAAAAATTAGAGATGTGGTCAGAAATTAATTTAAAATGAGAGATCTTTGATATGGGAAAGTTAAACTTGATGAGCAGCCTACAGCATGATCTTTCCAGGCACTGAAGTAGATCACACAGTTGAGGAACTCTGAGATCAAGGTATTAGAAGGGGCTGGTGTTAACTTTGATTTATTGAGGATGGCCTGGAGACCTTTGGAAAACAAGGACTTTTTCTCCAAACTCTAAGTAAGAGATAAGTACTATCTGAGGAAGATGGGAAGTCTTGCAGGAAACAAGTCACATCTTCAAATGACAATACTTCTAGAGTATGTTTAACACATTGGGTACCTTATGGAAGGGACAGAATAGCTAGAAGGTAAAGGTGAAGAGTTTTTCACTCTGTATCCATTTGTGTCTTTTGAGTGTTAAACTCTGTTGGTATCAAAATTAGAAAATAATAAAATTTAAGATAGATATTCCAGATTTAGATAGTAACCAATTTGTTTAACTTTAAGCAATTTATCCCTTGTTTTTTCACATCCTGAAACAAATGAGTTGTGTGGCTGTAGCTAATAGAAAGAATCTGAGAGAGAGTCCATTGCCCATCTTATAGTATTTTGCTATACTTATTTTAAGCATTGGTCTCTTGATTTAAGTCATTTAGCACATAGCTTGCAATCTCTGGGGAATATGTTGGAATTTCTTTCAGTGGAATCATAGCTTCTCATCATTCTAAGACTGGTTTAACCAATAACAAAGCCCATTTAAATAGGTCTCTGTCTGCTCACTTTCTCATTTCAAACTCAGAAGTAATGTCATTTAACCTAGGAAAGAATGGGAAGCAATTAGCAGTTAATAGCCAGGCTGACAAGGTAAATTTCCAGAATATCCACACATTCAGCTAAGATTCAGTACAAGAGTCAAAAGTCAAATATCCTTAGGTTTCCCTATTATTCTTCCATATGTTAAATAATTTTTTTCACAATGAATTCCACTTTTATTAATAATAATAGAAGGGAGATCRTTAGAGTAGAGCAAATGGATGGGCAGAAGGAGGAAAAGAAGTAAAAGCAAGGTACAGGGGAAAGAGATTGATCAAGTGCATGTATAAATATGACAAATTTCACTTGAAATTCAGTGCCAGGAATTTAAACATTTACCTCTACAGACAATATCATAACATTTGTGTTGTTTTTTGGTTAAATGATTTTGAGGTAATAGCAATTATATTTTAAAAATTAGGCAGTTTTTATTGCAGTAATTTACATGTTTTCCCTTTTAAATCTTCAACCAGGTGTAAAAATTACATCGACACTACAGGTGTTGAAGCTTATCAAGCAGGCTGGTGACCGAGTCTTGGTGTACTACGAAAGGCCTGTTGGCCAGAGCAATCAAGGTACTGTTCTGCAAGATAATTTTGGCCAGTTGGAAGAAAACTTTTTRTCAAGCTCATGCCAACCAAGTTATGAAGAGGAAGCTGCAGGACTTGCAGTGGATGGTGAAAATAGAGACCTTGATTCTGAATTTGAAGATTTGGCAAGTGATGTCAGAGTACAAAACGAGTTCAAAGATGAGGCACAGTCATTAAGTCATAGTCCCAAACGTACTCCAACAACACTTTCTATTAAACCTCTTGGCGCTATATCCCCAGTTTTAAACCGTAAATTAGTTGCAGGAAGTCACCCACCACCACCAAAAATTCCAGCCAAAGAAGGAAATAAACCGCCAGCCCTAAAAACTTCTGAGGTACTAGACCCATCACAAGTGTCAAAACCCACCCAAGGATCCACTTTCAAACCACCTGTGCCACCACGACCACAATTAAAAGTTCCTTTGCCTTCTGCTGACACCCCAAATCAGGCCGAACCAGACATTCTTGTTGAAAAGCCAGAGAAGGTGCTTCTTCCTCCTCCTCCTGCAGATAAATCTGAGAAGCAAGCAAAAAATGTGGATCACGTAGAAGATGTGACTACATCTAAGCAGTTTATAGCAAAGCAAGAAATGACTAAAGATTTTACTTCAGAAGGTTCTTGCCCTACTAAAGACAGTTCGGATGACCGTCAAATGTGGGAGTCATCAGAAATTCTTTATCGGAATAAGCTAGGAAAGTGGACAAAAACCAGAGCATCCTGTTTGTTTGATATAGAAGCCTGCCACAGATACCTGAATGTTGCACTGTGGTGCAGGGATCCTTTCAAGTTGGGAGGTCTYATCTGTTTGGGGCACATTAGTTTAAAACTTGAAGAGGTGGCTTTAGGATGCTTAGCTACATCAAACATGGAATACCTTTCAAAATTCAGACTGGAAGCCCCTGCACCTAAGGCCATGGTCACTAGAACTGCTTTAAGGAATCTGAGTATGCAAAAGGGCTTCAATGACAAATTTTGCTATGGTGACATTACTATTCACTTCAAATATTTGAAGGAAGGAGAACCAGACCACCATGTAGTTACTAATTTAGAGAAAGAAAAAGAACTCCATTTGGTTGAAGAAGTTTCTATCCTGCCTAAAGAGGAGCACTTTGTTGGACAGATGGGTTCATCAGAAAGTAAACATAGTTTCCAGGATACTCAGTTCCAAAACCCAACTTGGTGTGATTACTGTAAAAAAAAAGTTTGGACAAAAGCAGCTTCCCAGTGTATGTTCTGTGCTTATGTTTGCCATAAAAAATGTCAAGAAAAGTGTCTAGCTGAGACTCCTCTTTGTGGAGCAACTGAGAGACGAATAGACCGAACCCTGAAAAACCTTAGGCTAGAAGGACAGGAACCCCTCTTGGGCCTGGCTCCTCGTGTTGATGCCGAAGCTAACAAGTCAGTTAATAAAACGACAGGTTTGACAAGGCACATTATTAATACAAGCTCTCGTTTGCTAAATTTACGTCAAGTCTCTAAAACTCGCCTTTCTGAACCAGGAACTGATCTCGTAGAACCTTCACCAAAACACACACCCAACACATCAGACAACGAAGGCAGTGACACAGAGGTCTGTGGTCCAAACAGTCCTTCCAAACGAGGAAGCAGCACAGGAATAAAGTTAGTGAGAAAAGAAGGTGGGCTGGATGACAGTGTTTTTATTGCAGTTAAAGAAATCGGCCGTGATCTGTACAGGGGCTTGCCTACAGAGGAGAGAATCCAGAAGCTGGAGTTCATGCTGGATAAACTACAGAATGAGATTGATCAGGAGTTGGAACACAATAATTCCCTTGTTAGAGAAGAAAAAGAGACAACTGATACAAGGAAAAAATCACTTCTTTCAGCTGCTTTGACTAAATCGGGTGAAAGACTACAAGCTCTCACACTTCTTATGATCCACTATAGGGCAGGCATTGAAGATATTGAAACTTTAGAAAGTCTATCATTAGACCAGCACTCCAAAAAAATAAGCAAGTACACAGAAGATACAGAAGAAGACCTTGATAGTGAAATAAGCCAACTGATAGACTCGCAGCCATTCAGCAGTATCTCAGATGACCTATTTGGTCCATCCGAGTCTGTGTAACCAACAGGCTGTGTCAGCTTTCAAATGATTGGGGAAAAGATGCATCTAAAGTACCATGGATACAACCATGTTTCAGTCCTCTTGTAATGCACCTCAGCCTGCTGCTCCAGTTATTTACTTGTATAAGAAAGAACAGGAATGAGTTTGTTTTCCAGTAAAAATATGACCAGCTCATTAATTGGTTGTTTTGGGTTGCATTTATAGCTATGCTTTTTTGGGGTTTATACTGGGAATTTATTTTTACTAATTTATTTTTAACTTTTTCTAATTATGTAAGCTAATTTGTCACATTTATGTATGTGTGGTGTCTCACTGTGTTATTTTTCCTTCAACTTAGTTTTTGAATTAGTGTTAAATAGGTTATTGTCCAGACTCTTAGTATTTTCATTTCCATCACGGTTATAACAACAGTTTTGCTGCATGCCCAAATTGACAACAGCAATCTTTAAGGGAACAGGTTTTGAATCTTTTTGTTTTGTTTTTTTGTTTTGAAGTTTGTCATCTCTACTTGCTTGAGATTTTTGTTACTTTGGAGCTTTGGGAGGCTTTTTCTTTTGTTTTTGCCAAAAATAACATGGAAGCAGATGCTGCAGTTTTAGTCTGTTATGCTGATTTAGTAAAATTATTTTTTACATATATTGCTTGCTATCTATGCTTCTGAGATTTTTGTCTAAAGCTTGTGTGCAGCTGAAGTATAGTAGATACATAGTGATGAATCTGAAGGGCTTGCATTGATAAACAAAATAGGGAATAAACATAGAATACAGTTGGTCAAGAATTTTGTAGAAGATAACAAGATTACTGAAAATTAGTAGCCAGTAGGGTTTTGAAATATTTTTCAAAATGTCAATTCTTTCCTTTTAAATGGAAGTCCTAAGCATTCATAATGTTTTTTTATCTTCAGTTCTCCCATAGGAAATAAAGCATGTACAAGGATATTTAAAGTTTCAGAGGACTGTTGTTAAATGACTATTGATAATTGGTTTTGTTTTAAAAACATTCTCATGTAGGAGTATATATTGTGAAGGAGAGGAGTTATGCAAAGTGTATTTATTGCTTCATCTATTTTACAGGCTTAAAGGAATGGTGATCATTCTGAATATTTCTGTAGTGTAGACTGTCATTCTTTTTTTTAGAAAGAAAAAAAATAGACCATATATATAGGAATTGGAACCAGTTCTCTGAAAATGAAGATCTTCTCTGATACTGGTCCACTTATTGATGCCAGTAACACATCTGAGGGAAAATGTGTAAACTTGACCCCTGTTTGTATACATAATAGTTTGGGCCTATTATATGCCTACAAAATAAATATATATATATTTTTCCCCTTTTTCTGATAAGTTGATACATAATCAACACGAATTTAAAACAAGATGAAACAGCTTTCATGGTGGGCAAAGAAAGGCACAGTAAGGATTGTGACCCAGGACTCTATACAAGAGTTTAAGTTCAAGGTCTTCCCTTAATGAGCTGTCAGCCATAAGCAAGTCACAGAAGAGCTCAGTGCAGCCGTTTCTCATCTGTAAAGCTAGGCTAATACTACTTACTCTAATAACTACCTCACAGGGTTGTTGTGAGGAAAATAGTAGCATAACTACAAAAGCTCTTTGAAGAGCAAAAAGCTATACAGATAGAAGATATTATTTATATGAGAAAAACATTTTTGAGGGTAGAAAAGTCATTCCACTTTTAAAATCAGTAGACTACTAAGGAAAATATTAAGACACTAAATATCTTTCTTGACCAGGTTTATAACAAGAATGTATGTGAACCCCCTTTCTCATTGTTTACGCATGCTCGAATTTTAAAAGAACACTGCTACAGCAGACTTTCCACACCAAACCCCCTGAAAGCTAAAATGTCCCACAACATATGCGTGAACTTGTCTGCCCAATGTATAACCATGTTTCCTATTGTAAAATAACTTACCATTGCTAACCAGGAAGGTGGAGTATCTAAGTGGTTGGTGTTTATAGATTAAACCATGGGAGTTTTAGTGACATCTAAACATGCCCCTGAAGCTGTTGCATTTGAAAGAGCAATGGAGATAATGCAAAACTTTGATTTCATAAGAATCTACTCATGTTTTAAAGTACTTAACTCTTTAGAACCACAATTATGGAAAGCTCAGTAATGCTGCTAATGACATTTGTAAAATATACCTTGAATGTAGTGCAATATTTTTCTATCTGCTGGGAGAAGTAGTAGAAGCATCTCAGTTGTACTTTAGTGCAAGGGGGGAACACTCCACAGACAGCCTAGAGTATAGTAAGGTATAAGGCTTCAGTGAAAAAGTTGTATTATATTACATTACTGATGTAATCTCGCTGCCATGCTATGTTATCAATAGCTAAAAATAATAAATAAATAAATAAATAAAGACTACCACAGAAAAAAAGAATATCTTCATTTGATGCCATCCAAAAAAAAAAAAAAAGTGATTGCTGCATCTATGTGGAATTATTGCCTGGTATAACTTGGCCATGCAGATAAGCTACTGAAGTCCACTTTTACAAAATGAAATTGCAAAAACAATTTTTTAATTGTTGTTTTCTTAACTTGTAAAATATCATATTTATGGATTTGCTTCTACTATATAGTAATAATTAGACTACTAGAGTGTATTTTCCATATTGGTATTTACATGAATGGGTTAGAGAAAATGGGCAACATTTTGGCATTATTTTGCAATTAAAAAATATACGCTACATTTCTTAATATCAGGAAACATTCTTCAATATCAGAACTAGTTGAAATATTTATTATGTGGATATTTTGTGATTCTGAGGGAAGAAAGCAGTATAAAAACTTTGAGGGTACTACCAAGTTCTAAGTTTAAATGTATCTAGATTTTTAAAAGGCAATTTGAAAACATTTGGCTCTAGTAGTAGGATAATGAAGAATAAGATTCTCAAGTCCTCTAAAAGTGAATAAATTTAAAATCACTTTAAATTTTTTAAAAAATATTGTGTTTGTTTCTAAATTGAGATAATAGTGTACCCCAAAAGAGTGGGAGATTCCCCTCATCCTTTTTGAGTCCCAGATACCCTTTAAGGTCTGGTTAAAACTGTGTACCCTCAGCCCTGGAAGCTGGATCATGTTCACCCCATTCAGAATGCCCCTGATTTCAAGGGTTTTACAAAACTTCCAGGACCCAGGGGCCTGGGTACATTATGCCAAATGGCTGGATATTATAGTTCTTTTTATCAGGTACAGTTAACTTGTTCACAGCAATCAGAATAGTAATGCAAGAGTAGAGGTTTGGGGATAACTATTTTCCACATTGACATAATGTGCCTAGTTACATATTTTTATTTAAAACAAATGTGGGAAGCCAAAAAAGTACACACTAACCTGGAGTGACTTTTAATTAAGCCTGCAAGCATAGAAGAGTTTTTAATTAAACATCCATAATCAAAATGATACCTAATATATTTTATTCCAACAATATTTGGTTTATGAAAGAGTACAAACAGGCACAGTATAGTGTGATCAGGTTTATTAAATAGGCTAGCTAAAACATGATTAGGACAGATACACAATAGCAGTCAAAAGAAAGATGAATATTCATTACTACCTCATTAAGGTTTTTGTGTCTGTATTACCAAGTACAAACATAAAAGCCATTTCTTCAAAAAAATAAATGTTCAGAGAGCTCTATGTTCTTTGTTCTGATATACATGATACAACATCACCCGTTTTCAGTCTTGTTAATCCAGAATATTAGTCATATAAAATACCTTATCATTTTTCTCCTTAAATACATACATTTCTTTTGCTCCCCAAACAGTTCTCAAAAATCCATCTGTTTTATCTTTTTCCTAGGGATCAATAGCAAGCATGCCTTTGCCAGTTATTCTTAACAGAAGCTGAATCCTTAGAGGCAAAAGTAAAATCGGAATAAATTATAGAGTATTGGGGCAGGGAGAACCACAAGCCCCTCTAAGAAGCAATTTGCAGCACACTGGTTCTTTTTTGTTTGTTTTGGTTTTGCAATGCTGGGGATTGAACCCAGGGCCTCAAGTGTCAGGCAGGCTCGCTACCGCTGAACCACATCCCCAGCTCCTAGTATATTTTTTTAAAGGCTATTCTGTACAAGTAAAAACAATCCTTTTTGTTTTGGCCATATAAGAATTCCTCCAGAGCCATCTTCCAAAGTAGCTGACTTGTGTAATAGTCCATTCTACTGAGTAGGAAGATTGTTTTCCTCGAACACTGCCTTTGGAAACCAATCATCAAATCATCTAATCCCCACGGAAGAGCTTCAGAAAGCAAAAGAAGTACTAGCCACTTTCCTAGAGAATATGTAGTAGTCAATAAGGTTGAGAAGTCTTTGTCTAAAGATCTTTGCTCCTTGATGTCCAAGTTAACACAAACACAGTTTACTGAACCAAACTGACATGAAGTAATTTATGGTTACAGAATTGTAGAATTAGTATTATTTGGGATATATTCCACACTATCTTCACATTCCAGTCACACCTCATATGAAACAATGTAAACGACAATATTCACTAACAGTATTTGCTGGTACACTAAAAAGACATATCAATGTTATCATGCTTAGAAAATGTTTATTACCCAGCACACAGATGATATGGTAACACACACATTTTTATGTTTGGTTTTTCTTTTCTGCCTGGGAAAGGAGATGTGTCCTGACCACCCTATGAATTTTATCTGATTTTCTAATGTGGGATTAAATACATAAACAATTTCATTCCATTTTTGTTTAAAATTTGTTTCCACATTATGTGAACAACTTTTGGGAGTCAAAAAATAATAGTTTTGGACAACCAAAAATTAATCGATCCCTAAAAAAAAAAAAAAAAAAAAAAAAACACTTGGATGACCTACAGACAGGCTGAAGATATTACAGTCTGAGTTTTCAATTTATAGCAGCAATTAGCCTTGTTTTATTTTTTCCAAAAGTTTTGAACTAGATGTTGACAAACCTTACCTTGCTTATACAACCTTAACAGTGTAAGGTGCCTGTACTCCCCATTCTCACCCAATAAGAATCAACTACACATCTTACAAGGAAAGCTTTGCTTCATWACAACCATTTCGGTGCTTTTCTCCACTTTCAGAACATTTACTATTTTCCCATGTTGACTTTAATGTTTGCTGCCAACCACAGGACATGTAAACATAATTTACAACCATCCC